TTTTTTTTTTTTTTTTTTTAAATATTAGAATTCATTAAAAATACTTTAACTAATGCTCAAATATATCCCAGATTAATAGATGTTTAGTTAAAATGTATTTAGAAATGCTTCAAAAATATGATTCCAATTTTTTATTATTTTATTTTTATTTTTAATTTATTTTTAATTTTAAAGTTTTTTTTGTTTGATTGTAGATTATGCCTAATATAACACGACATAAAACTAACATATTTACTTAAGGCAATAATGTATTCTAAATAAACTAATTTAAAATTTAAATGCAGTTTTGTATTAAGCATCATATTTGATAAATATTTAGAAAGTGTATAAACGAATTCGGTCTGTTTAGCAACCATCCTTTCGAGCAAGCTTAGCTCCACTTTTGCAGCTGGTAACAGCGAACGTTGAACCTTCATTGATTTGCCACAGACAGACGAGTATAGCTAGTGTGTGCATGTGTCGGTGTGTGGGTCTGTGTGTGAGTTTGAAAAATGAGACTGCGCAGGAGCCAACCTAACCTAGGTGCCTTGCCTTTTGGTTGTCGTAGGTCCTGAACACGCAACGCTACAAAGCAACAACAACATGGTCAACTGTTTCCGACAACCACTTTGCCAAACACACACACGCACACACACACACAGGTGCATAGCATACACCTACACACGTACACACTTGCATATGTATCTGTATGTGTGTACATGCAAATATATAAATGCAGCACCTTAGCGGCTACAAAGTAATCACAAAACCATTGAAACGCTATTGATTGACCTAAAAAACAATCTAACTGTGCGCAAACACTTTAACACAGCAACTCTTAACAGATTTTAACCCGGTTGCTACACTACCAACACCGTGCCCATTCCCATTTCCTATTCGATTTCCTTGCTCAATTTGTAATGTTTAGCAAATTAGAAAAGGCCATTCCAGGGTATATTGTTATGTATTCAGCAATCAGAAAAGGACGTGGTTATTCATATAATATAAGTAGTATATGTGTTTTTGATCAGGATGATCGGCTGATTAGATGTAACATGCAAATGTATATGTGACTCTTTCTGTCTGCCTACGTGTCTCCCTACATGTCTCTCTCTTTGGCAGATTCTCTGTCTGTGTACCTAGCTGGCTGTCTGTCGATCCATTAACTCAAGGAAATGCTCAGAGAGTCAAGTTTGTCTTCGAGTGGAAGTGGGATTACGAAGAGGATGAGAGTGAGTTGCCCTATATAAATGGGCGCCTGCAGCAGCGGCACTTCAGTCTGTTCTTCTATATCCTGGTGGGAGGACGTGCAGTTTAGTGAAGTGCTCTTCTTCTTGGATGTATGGCAAGCACTTAAACAATAGTTAGTTAATAATGCTAATTCAATATTAATCACTATTGTAGTAGTCTATTCGTATACATTTAAGAAATTGTACAAATAATAATTAATATACATGATCATTTGGATTGTTTGCATCTATAAATTATTATATAAAAGTAGTATTTAAGAGATAATTAAAGTCGTGAAATGATAATAATAGTTTTTTTTTATACGTAAGCCTTTCAAATTGATATGTTTAAGGTATTTTACTTACCTTCGCCTTCTTCTGCCGCTTTGACATCGCTCCATTTCGACAACTACGAAAGAATAAAGCAGAATAGATTTGTGTGTTAGTACGATTAAAGCGTAAGCATAGCCCAGAGGTTAATGGTATAAGAAATTAGAAGAAAAAAAACTGTAAGTAGGATTATAAATATACATTGACAGACAGCTTAGTGAAGCAATTCATTGCCGAAATTTAGTATAGGAAATCATTATTCATTTATACAACACACAAATATTGAAATATGAATTGTAAAGTATATTCCCCTTAAACCCAACGGATGCTGATGCTAACACTGTTGCATATATATACATACAAGATGGTTAAGGAGAACCCGAGTGAACAGCACGAGAGTGGCACGCATGGCCCTCAAGTGTCCTTGCTGCCTTGATGCCGGCATCTACTTGTGCTTATGTTTGTGCTTGTGGAATACGCACCCTCGCGTCCTTGGCACGTAGTACTTGGCTCTCAGAAGCCTCACACAAAGACAATAGAGAAGGACACGTCAAAGTCCGAGAAAAGTTCTAATATTTAACAAAATATCCTCTTTCCGTTTGAAAGTATTGTCAAACTTATTTGAAAAGCTTTCAATTACTCGATTCTAATAATGTAAGAAAGCTGTCTAAGCGAAGCGGGGAGAATGAAGAAATTACTGCTTATCCACACGTATTAATATACAAATGCACATATGTATATACATACACATATATTAAACACATTTGAGAAGGGAGAGAGTAATTGCGAGCAAACAACATGAAAGCTATGTACAGTATGTAGTGAGCCTAAGAAAACGGCAAGCCAACTCTCGATCGCACTAAGCTTCTAACTCTCACTTCATTTGCTCTCTGACAGAGCAAGATAGCGAATACGAAACCAACTTTTCTCTCCTTTCTTTATATTAAAATTCGCGAGAGACTTGCCCAACTCTTCGGTAAAGTAAGCTTTTCTAATAACGGCACCAAAGCCAATTGCACTAGTTTTTGCTAGGCATGTTGCGAATATACATACATACATACATATATTAGGAATAAACATGCATATATAATATACAATATAAAATAACAAATATATACGTAAGTAAATATGTCCTTTTATTTGGCAAAGTTACATATTCGCAACGTTGGCTTCCAATTAATAGCAACTTTTTGCTGCGTTTAGTCGCAACTTTGTTGCTGTTGGCATTTTCTTGATGTCAGCTGTTGTTGTTGCTGTTGTCCTTGAGCGCATTTTAATTCAGGGCACTGCACTCACTGTGACCGAAGCGCCGTCTATTAAAGGCCACCCGACAGTGCCTCCTTACGTGGGTGCTTTTGTTTTGTATTTTGTGCTTCTTCCTTTTTACTCAAAGAGTTTTTACTACGGCAAGGGTTGTAAGTGAAAATCTTGTACTTTAGCTGGTGTTAGTTACCTGTTAGGTAACCATGCATTGAAGGCGACTCAATTAACTTTAATTATATGTAATTTTAAAAATGTATAGCTTGCAAATTCTTAGTAAAAAGGGGTCTTCTAATTATCGTAGATTGCTTTTTAGCAAACATTTGTTCATTATGCTGTTCGTTTGACTCAGACACTCTTCTCAATATCTTTGCAGCACACAAATTTGCAATTTCCCATTGACTTGGTTTGAAAACTGCATAAAATTGAGTAACTGGCACAAGTGGCCAGCCCACTTCACAGAGACAGAGAACAAACAAAGCAGTGTATATATAGAGGGTGCTCGGCTATCATCATCCATTGTGAGCCCTCGCTCTTTCCCAATTTTGCATTTACCTTGAGTTGAGATTTCCTCTTGAGTGCGGCAATCGAACGCGTTTGCTGTCGAATCACCTCCAGTGCAATATTTACGTCAACTTTTCAATCCGCAACACAAACAATTCAACAAAAACTTTCAAAATTTGTAATTCAAAATACAGTTTTTGAGAAAAGTATAAGAAATCGCCAATTAATCAGAAAGTCAATTGTAATCTTTACGCCGTTGGTTTGTTGTTGAATCGCTTAGGCCACACAAATAGTTTCATAGAAATATATTCATATATTTGTTTAAATTATTATTTGGATCGATTTTCCGTTTGCGTTGTTTAATCACGTCGTTTTGTTTCTATAAATAATTAAATTTACGCAATGTTTATGGAATTTGTTCGCAATCTTACTGAGAATATATTTCAACGTTTTTCTTTTAACTTGGTACGCATAAAATAAAATTGTTTGTTTATTTATTTTTTGGAAAATATTAAATTTTTCAAATTTCAAATTTGAAAATATTCACAATATTATTTTCTATTTAGTAGATCTGAGTAAAAGTTGCAATATTTTAGCACTTTGCTAATACTTCAATACTACTACAGTTTCTATAGAGTCGATTACACCTTATAGAAGCACACGATCAAGTTAGGATAGCTTTTTATATGTAAGTATATTTCCGTTATATGTTCTATCAAGTTCTGCAGTCAAAAAAAAGTTTTTAATAGGGTAGCGCTTAAGGGCGTGAGAAAGTTGGGTGGAGATTGACCTATAAATCTACTATTGCCTTTTTGATACATATATTGACATAAGAAATTTCAGCTAAAGAAGATTAGGGCGTGTTGGAGTCATAGACTTTTAAACAGCAAACAATAATAGTTTTGTATTCTTTTTAGCATAAATAACTTAAATTCATAGCACAAACAATTTAAAATCGAAAGCTCCAAACTTAATATTTCCGGGACTTTTTTAAACATATATAAATATATATATTTTTATTGCGTTTTTTGGTCAAATGTTAGCACATCATAATTATACTTGTTCGATGTTTTTGATTTCACACGTTAATTATTATTGCGAATTATCCGCATTTTTCCGAATTTCCATGCGTCTTGACCAGTTGTCGAATTGCCACTGGGAAGCCAGGCGATTGTACTGAGTTTGAAGGCGAAAACTTTTGGGATTTTCATTAATAAAAACATGACCGGCTGTTTAAGCTGCAATGCGCATGAGTGTAGTATTGCAGACAGGCGGGAGTAACCGACAACACTGAAGAAAGGAGGTCATCATTGGATTAACCTGCAAAATATGATGAAGTAGGCTTCTACAACGAAGGTGGAGAGAAAAAGGTGTGGCCAAAATACTTTAGCTCTGTGACTAGGACTATATAATGAAATATGTAGGCTGCATCCGCTTTTGCAAGGCTATTAGGACAATGAACTGTAGGAATTTCATCAACTTTACGTATTTGGAAAAAAGCGTATACGCTATATTCAAAATATAAACGGTGTTTAGTACCATTCTCAGATAATAAAATGTAGCAAACTAAAATCATTCTTAACCAAAATATTTAAATAAAACACTTTTTGCCGCCAAAGTAGATACGGAATCGATACTTATAATATACACAATACCTTTTAGTATTTGTAGTATTTTTGAAAATAATCGATTAGCCTCCACATTCACATTCCACCAACATTTGCTTTTTTCTGTTTGCACGCACTGTCACACTCATCGCTAAATTTGCCAAATGTGCAAAAGAAGGCGACGGCGGCGTTTTATTAATCTATCCCAAAACCAATACGTTAAAAATGTGCCTAAATACCAATATTTAAAAATTGTAGTTATCAAATGTTAATGTCTGTGATTTGGTGTGTAGATTATCTTGTGTAACATAAACAAAAGGTGTGCAAATAAAAGCGCCGCACCGCTGTGCAGCCGCATTTTTAAAACGGTGAGTCGAGCATTTAATTGATGATAATTAAATATATTCTGGTGCTCTAAGCATAGATATAAGTACGTAAATTTCATGTATTAAAGATCAGCTTGGCAGCCATAGACTTTCATTCTTTTCTGTGCTCTTTTCGCTTTTCGACTGTTTTGGCGCAATTTGTTCGGCGTTTTGTTGTATTGCGCATAGTAATTCATGGTGTTAGAGCGAGATAAATATATATACACATTGTGCCTCTTTTGAGTTGTACATTTGTACATAGTAAAACGTTTGCATTTGTATATCTTGAAAAAAAAAGCAATACATTATTAACAAATAATAATTTATTAATTTACGCAACTCTATAAACTTATATACTATTTCGTTTTATTTCTTTTTATTCTCTGATCTGGTCTATTCCATTAAATAACTAAATAAGACCAAAACGCGTTGTGATTATGTAGACGCTGACAACCCTAGATTGTGGGAAATGGAATTCAAAGAAACTATTTAAAAATTTGTATAAGAATTCGGAACTAGGAATTGGCTTTTTAATCATTTATTAGAATAGAAAAGATAAATAAGTGTGTTATTTTGAACTAAAATTGGTTTGTCGAAAATCGGCGTCTGTCTTGTTACTGGTGAGTTACACACAGCTAGTTGTAATTTGGCCGGCAATGCAATTGAACTCATGCATACGCATACACACACACACACATACACACATACAAGAATATGCAAATATGAATACATGTCTACTGTGTATGGTCTGTATGCAAAATAAAAAGAACAAGGTTATGTTGACGGGGTAGACAATCGTAGACCATCAATTGCACCGACAGCGTTTGGCCCCTACTAACAATTCGATCAATATATAAATTTAGCAAATAAAATATGGCTTGGGCTCCATCAACGAACTTCGAGGACGATTTGGTCGATTTACAGCCTGATTTCAATTTAATACATGGACAGCTAGCCTATGAAGCCAAGCGAAAGCAAGAATTTATTCCCCGTCCAAAGTCAACTTACGATTACTTAGCTAAACGGGAGGAACGAAATGCGGAGATTGAGAAACATCGAAGTGTCAAATCGAAGGAAATAAGCGCCAGCCTAGCCATGATGGAGCGTATTCAGGCCATAGCTGGCACTAAGCCGTTAGGTGAGCACGCGACAATGTCAGATTGGGATGATAAGAGCACCGTGGAGAAAGAGGCGATTGCTATGATGCGACATTTTGGCATGATGTCGATGACTGATGGCTCATTATCTCCGGCACGAACTGAATCTGTGCCACACGGCAACATTCATGTTATGCGCAATGGTCGACATAGAATGCCATTGATCTTGGATCCCAAATTCTTTGAGCCAGGTAAAAAGCGACAAACAACAAATTCTAGGAACCAAAAGAAGGATTCTGCAATTAATGACAGCGTCTGTAGTACCCCCGATTCACATTTGGATGATACAGAGAGCAGTGAAGGTGGGAAATCATATGTCGAAATACCCTATCAATTGCTTGTAGAAACAAAAGAGACGGAATCAAGCAACACCAATAAAGCAAATACTCATGGAAACACCGAACAAGTAATTGGATAGTCTATATTAAATGGAGTTACATAGCATGGAAAGAAAACATTGATTTTTATGGTATACTTATTTACTTATAACTTATTTGAATTAAATGTGAGTCATACATTTAATATAAAATGGTAAAAATCGTGGAGTTTAGAATATGTTTTAAACATTATTTATATTATTTTATAAAAACAGTAACTCTTATATTCTGTTTTCCCATTTTCACATTTAATGTAATAGTAATATAGTCAAATCAAAAACAAGAGAAACAAGAGAAAATATGTCAATCATTAATACAACAAAATTATATTTGGTAAAAACATAATTTCGAAATCCTTTTGAATTAACACTATTTAAGCCAGGGCTTTTGATATACCTAGGCTACCATTAACAAAAATTAAAGTAAATTAGCAAAATATTTTATTCTAAGAAAGAAAAAACCTTTGTTATGGAAGTTAAGCATATTAGAGATTTCGGGTCTTTTATGGAAAAACTTATAAAGAGTTGCGAATGTGCCTTAAAATGTAATTAAGATTTAAAGTTAAATGTTCATTAGCATGTGAAAAATAAAAAATACATGTTATATAATTTATTCATGTAGTATTCATATATGTATATAGACGTATACTGTAGTATATACTATAGTAGTTGTCTATATTTACATATGTATAGAAGGGATGGGCTATTTTAGCTGAATAACCTAAGACAAGTATATGTTTTAGTAGGGCAAACACAACTACTGCAATGATAGTTCATTTTTGTGATTGCTATGGGATGCTGCTGTCTTATATATGAGGACCACGACTTTTGTTATGCTTCTAGGTTTCCCTGTACATACAAAGTCATGCATATGTTTATTCTTATGTGTAAAAGACAGCCGTCGGTATAAACAAGTTGCGGGCATATAAAAATATATATACATTCTACAATATACATATATACATGAATATATTTACGTAAACGAGTCCCGAGTCTTGTCGAGAAGTCTTGAAATCTTTAAAATTGCGCAAAAAGCACGCGACTCTCAGACACCCTTACTGTTAATAAACACAGATTTGAATTACAAAAAAAAACTTTAGATTTGAATGCCTATTGACTTAATATGCAAAAATCCAAGGTTTTTTAAATATATGAAATGGGCTCAGCATATTTTTAGTAAAGGTCAGACTAAACTACATATCAAGTATCAATATTCATATATACAATAAATAATATCGATAATACTGTCTGTATTATTTACTGTAAGGGTATTAATCTTCGAATTGGCGAATAAACATTATTCCTTTTCACTTCTTGTAGAGAGCCGTCAGAATAAAGTATAATCGAAAGGGCATTTAACTTAACCTTTGATAAAATTAGCTGACCTTTTTATTGGTATTTTTGGAATATTCAATTGTACGTGTATGGTGTTAGCAGGACATAAAGAGGTGTATCAGTGCTCTTAATTATAGCCATTTCGTCCCACTCGTTAATGTACAGTCAAGGAATCACCTTTCATTTTATGTATGTACATATGTACATAAAGGTAAGACTCAGGCTCTCAAACTAGGAATACAAATGTGGGGAATGGGGTAACTTTTGTGTTCACATTGACGGACACACCGTATAACGACGCCGAGGTTAGTCTGTAAGTGAATACTACTACGCTGCACAATAATAAAATCTACACATACATACACGCATGCATATACAGATATATGTATATGGGTATACGTATGTACACGTTATATGCATATGTACGTATGCATGTATCAATGTGTGAGTGGCTACTCACACACAAAAGACGCAGAAGTAAAAGAAGCAACAGCCCTGCGCTCACCGGCTATCGCCTGCGTAGGAATTGCTCCACGCTCACCGGCTACATCTTAGTCCCAGCTGCTTCTACAAAACTTAAGAGCTGAAAGTTTCACTTGGAAGCTGTTTAGAGCACACGCTGCTACGAGAGAGAAAGAGAAAGAGTGCATCAACCACCGAAATTGACAGCGTTTTGGCGCGCGCATGCGTAAGCTTTCGCTCTCAATATTTAATCTCTTCTTCGCTCTCTGTGACTATTGCTCGTTCGCTCATTCTCCCTCTTTGCGAATCTCGCTCTTTCTCTCTATCTCTCTCTCGCCTTTGGCTTTGGAAGTTTCGAGTTGGCAGCCTGGTCCATGTCATGTAGATTATAAAATACTCATGTATCGGTCGCATTTGCTGCTCACAGTTTCATTTGAACGCTTGCCCAGGACGAGCCGATATACATATGAGACAGGAGACCGGATGAAAACTCTAATTTGCCAAAATGAAATAAAATTAATAAATGAAGTAAAGTAAAGAAAAGGAAATAAACTATCCAGCGCACAGGCTTATAGTGTTTGATAGCCTTCGGAAAAGAGATTTATGAAAAGCCGGGACATTGGCACCTTTGAGGTGTGTAGATACAGACAAAACGCTTCCTACACTTTAACCGGATTCATATATATATATATATATATATATGCGTGTATCCGTCGGTGTGTTAGTGTTTGTACTACGTGCAGTGTCTGTCAGTGAGCGCTCTCCGAAAAAAGCTGTCATCAATCGCGGCGATTTACTTCAGCTGGAAACGGTGGTGGACTTAAGTAAAGAAGGAAAGAAAAAAAAAAAAAAAGAAGTAAAATGCGAAGCATAAAAAAGCGGGCGAAAACTTTACAAAAACAAATGCAATTCACGCGCGTGTCTCCAAGACGAAGGATAGCTCCAATCGCAGCCAGCTCAAAACCTCTTATGACGGTAAATCTCTTCCCACTTGCACTATCAATTAAACACTCAATTTTATTTAGCTTGCAAGTTTTCTCTGCACACGTACACGTGGCTGCTTCCAGCTCCCGCTATGAAATACACCAAAAAGAAAGAGGTTATAATAAAAACTGGCTGGGCTGGTATTTTCTTGCCGAGCTTGTCTGTCCGTAACTATACAACCACATGGTACGAGCATGTCCATTTCCATCTCTGTCCCGTCCCAGCCACAGCGGTGATACCTGTCTCTTATTCCTTATCCACTACCGCCAACAGCAGTAGTATATATTTTATCCTAACCATACAATATACATATTTTTACCTCTTTTTTCTGCATTTGTTGTTCCGGGGCAAGAGGCGGCGGCTAGAGACCTCTACTGCGGCAGGAACTGCTTCATGTACAGGGCGCAAAACAGAAAAAAAAAAAAAAAAAAACTAAACCGGTGCTCAAATAAAAATACTTGACGAAACTCGTATTTGCTTAACTTCTGCTTCTTCGACATGCTGGCGGGGCAACTCTCCCAGTCGCAATTCCTAGTGGCAACTCACAAGTCCCACAGCACAAGCTTTTTTCTTTGTCGCTGCTGCAGTTGCTGTTGCTAGGGGACTAGTTTCCAGCTAGACGAGGGATATGCTGCCGCAGCGATCGTATAGACAACAAGCTCATATCAAGCATTTTCTTTAATGGAATATTTTGCATTAATTGAATGAAGTCGTGTGGCGATAGTCAAGCGGCGTCATACGAATGCTATTCTGGCTATTTAACATTTGAAATATTTTCTATTAATGTGGATTCATATTTCTTATATACATATATTCAAAATGTAAGTTCCTTAACGTATTCAGTTTGCTCTGAAGTCACAGACTCCACACATTAATTTCTTTAAAATATATATTCATTTATATAGCTGTAAGTGAGCTGGCATCTCAAGTTCTTTGCATTTAAAATATGCATCGATACGATTTGATAATGTATTTTAAACACATAACATGTATTTAAACCATATAAACAAAAAGGTTATTTTAATGCTTTTCGAAATAACGAGTATACAATTATTTCTATGAAAGCGTAGAAAATCGAGTTTGCAGCAGCCTGGTAAAAAATTATTTCCGATAATAAAGTAAATTTATGGATTATATTTACATCATTCTATGTAAAACGGAAACAAGCAAAGTTCTTTCTTGCTCTATATCCATCCGATATTTGACTGTGGCGATTAAACATTTGATGTACCAGATTATGTGCATATGGTTAGCATCAGTTTCGGTCATGACAGCGAAGCTACTTTCACATACAGCTGTAGCATATTAATAATTTCTTATCGACATTAACATAAAAAGCTTATATATATATAGCACAAATTGAATTATTGTACCTAATCGGTTTCAAGTATAAATACAAAATTCCATTAATGTTTCAAATTTTTTATTTAACTTCTAATAAATATTTGATTAGAATTCTTTTTACTAAAGTTTATAAGTTTTAATTGAGAAATTTTGATAATGTCCATTTCTGTTTGTATATCGAAAATATACTTTACTCGGCTATATTTAAAGATATATTTCGCATGTGTGCATATGTATTGCCTATTTGACTGAAATTCAATATTATTCCTGACATAGATGAGCTTGACAGAAATAGAAGCACTCACGACATTCTCATTTGCATTTATAATGCTAAAATTGCATAAATTGTGATGTCAAGAATTCCCCGAGGCTGTTTTCACTATCCTAATCAAAGCTGTACAGGTGTGTACAGATGTGTGCTCGTCAAACTGTTGAAAGAGAGGAGCAACATTCGGGCTCTGTCAACTGTTCAATGGAGTACACACAACAATATTATAAACAAAAGTTTAGTGGCCTGTTGAACGAACCAGCAGAGAGCATCGAGAGCTTTCAAGCAAAAGGGAAAAATGACGTGAAAGTGCCGCTTCGAATGCCGCCATTAGTCTAAGAGAACAAAAGAGGGATACGATGCTTCATTTGTCTCTGGCTGTAGCCGAGCGAAAGGACGAAAGGAGCAGCCTGGCAAATGCAGCATTCCGAGAAGCTTTGCCGGCTGGACGAAATTATAGTTGGAAGGATTGACGTTCAGATACACATAGTTGAAAAGTTAATCAGCATCTAATGAAAATGATGATCATAATCTAAATAGAACTTTGTTATATGTTTAGCTTGTATGGTATATATACTAGGGATAGAGCTTTAAATGAGCAGTGGAACAGCGCATGAGCGAACCATGACCATACCAAAAGATGAAATATTAAAACAGTATAAAAACTTGACGTTTTTCCCTATAGTTTGTACACCACAAAGCTGCAATGCAGCATCCCCAAAAGTATATATATATGTATATGTCTGAGGGTAGGTGAATGTACTGATACTGATACGTGTAAATGACAGTGAAACTTAAACTGACAGCCATATTAATTATTTGTATTTGATTATTTGTTTGCAGCTCGGCTTATGGCTCACTTGACAAAGAGCTAGGAGATAATGGCACATGGCGACAACAGTTAGTAAATGACAGGATATAAAGGCACAATTATTGAGCAATCACAGGACATGGCAGCCGCAACGTCAGCGACCCGTGAATTCGTAGAGGGCTGGACTCTAGCGCAGACGCTAGGTGAAGGCGCCTATGGCGAGTAAGTGGACAGCAATGCAATTCAATGCATTGCAATGCAATCAGAGGCCCAGACTGCGTACTGCAGATTGGCTCGTGTGTGCTGAAGTCAATAAACCGGAAGTGATGTGAAACGAAAATAGAGAAATCTCGCTTTTCCGGCGTATTTGATGCTGCTGCTGTTGCTCCGCTATTGAGTTCCGAAGCTCATTTTTGTGTTGCGCGCATGCTCCAACTACGAAGCTTCGGTAAAATGGCAACAGGAGCACTGCACTGCATCCAGTACAGTACAAAGACAGACTGAATGGTGTTAGGGATACGGGTGTGAGTGGGGAAATTCTCATTGTCGATTGCATTGACTAATTTTTCCGACACATAAAACTCACAGAGCAACCCAATTATTTTTTATCTTTCTTGGCGCAGAGTCAAATTGCTTATCAATCGCCAGACGGGAGAGGCTGTGGCCATGAAAATGGTCGACCTGAAGAAGCATCCCGATGCCGTGATCTCAGTGCGCAAGGAGGTTTGCATACAGAAGATGCTACAGGACACACACATCTTACGCTTCTTTGGCAAACGATCCCAGGGACATGTGGAGTATATCTTTTTGGAATATGCTGCCGGTGGAGAGCTATTCGATCGGATCGGTAAGTAGTTCGATGGTTTATATCATTAAGAAGTTAATCTAAGTTTTCATTTACATATTACAATTTGATGAAATTCATATTATTATAATATCATTATATACTATTGATTATGTTAAAAAATTTAATCATTATGTCCATCTGTCTTCCTGTTGGAAATGTTAATAGATTTTACTTACAAATTTAACTTTTGTAATCTTTAAACTCTTACAGTTTAATTGTAATTGCAGAACCTGACGTTGGCATGCCGCAGCATGAAGCACAGCGTTACTTCACCCAACTGCTCTCCGGTCTGAACTATTTGCATCAGCGTGGCATTGCCCATCGTGATCTGAAGCCTGAGAATCTGCTACTGGACGAGCATGATAATGTTAAAATCTCTGACTTTGGAATGGCCACTATGTTTAGGTATAATATATTAGAATACGAATCCTAGCTAATTTAGACTGGGAGACTGCCAAAATATTGGAATAAGTGTCTGTGTGAAAAACATCTCAAGTGTCTGTACTAGGCAAAGTATATGACGGGCTATAAACCTTTTCTACCAAACAATTATACGAATATAAGTCTGTGTCCATAAAATATATTTGATTTATATTCATATATTTAAAAATTAAATTTACTGTGTAGTTTAAAGTTGACCGAGGCAATGGCGAAGCAGTAGTTAGGTGTTAATAATCCTGCTATATAATATGGGCACGTCTTTAGGCACTCTAGATTTTCATATACAATTTATATATTTTTTAAAAATTGTGTTCCTCCTTTTATTTCAGATGCAAGGGACGAGAGCGTTTACTAGATAAGCGCTGTGGCACCCTTCCTTACGTGGCGCCAGAGGTGCTATTGAAGCCGTATCACGCACAACCGGCGGACATTTGGTCATGTGGTGTCATATTGGTGACAATGCTAGCGGGTGGTGAGTACAAAAAAATTCCACTATGCACCAACACTTTTTGCCTGTTTACGACATGACTAAAAAAAAAAGCATATTCAATAATAAAAGAAAACATTTGCATATTGTTTCCTCTTCTGTCGCTCACATTGCTCGTTTCTAATTAATAATAACGGCACTGTTGTACACGGTCATTACGATTTGTCTATGTGATTTTTGTGTTGTTTTTTATACATAAATACAATATATAACTCACTGTTCTACATGTTATTTGTCTCACCCACACAATTGCCACTCTTTCATTTTTGCTGTTTCTTTGGTATTCTAGCTGTAGATTGTTTTCACATATTGTATCATCTAAAGCTTTTATACCAAAGCTCCAGCTTAAATTGCTTGACACCGCCCAACCGCTCGCACCATCCGCCAACATCAGTAAAACAAAATAATAAATAAATAAGAGAACAATAAAATAAAAAACAGTTCGTTAAACTGTTTAGTGCACGAATTAAGCTAAATGTTCATGAACTTTTCTAATTTGCACGGTACAAAAACAACCAACACTCACAGAACTCACCACGCTTTGCTAGCTCTTGCAATTAACTCAACTCAATATATTGACCTTTCACAGAACTGCCCTGGGATCAGCCTTCGGCCAGCTGCGCGGAGTTCATCACCTGGAAGGACAACGATCGCTGGCAAACGCAAACGCCATGGAGCAAGTTGGACACATTGGCCATCTCGTTGCTGCGCAAAGTGCTGGCCACCAGTCCGGGTGCGCGCCTGACGCTGGAAAAGATCCTCGATCACAAATGGTGCAACATGCAGTTCGCCGAGCATGGTAAGAACTCAGGCTCCATCAATATAGCTAGAGAGTGCCCGATTCATGATGTCCAGCACACGCTGCAGCTCAGGTACTTAGTGACTCTCAATCACATATTGCTTTGCATACTTTGAGGGTCGCTCTGTGCCTGTGCCGTCCGTGTTGCACACAGCCACACAATTGTGAATTCGAAGTCGAGAACCTCGGACTAGAGAATCCATCCAAGTGCAAGTGTATTGTAATGTAAAAGTGTTTTTAGATATTCGCTCCATTGCCGTTGCTTTGGCGCTTTAGCTGTATGATAGATTTAAATACTTCATAAAGCTAGATTACCAAAGCATTGGCTCTGTGGCCAAACCCCAGCGAACTTGTGAAATAATCGAATATGCATGTACATATATATTATTTTTATAATATGATTTGGTTTGGCTTTTTATTTTGCATATTATTTGTTCTTTGGTGATTTTAGCTGTATGGTGTGCGCGTATTCCATAGAGCTTTATTACCAAAAACCAAATGGTCTTTGCATTGCTTTCTTTTCGTTTATTCAGTTAATTGCGGTTTTACTTTTGTTCATGCAATCTTTCTGTGTGCTCGTTTTCGATTACTTCTAATGGCGTTGACGCGTCTCCTTTGCAGATCGTTCCTATGATATAGTTGACTCCGCCGCTGCTTTGGAGATTTGCTCACCCAAGGCTAAACGACAGCGGCTGCAGTCGAGCGCTCATTTGAGCAATAATTTGGATGATTCCATATCGCGCAACTATTGCTCTCAGCCGATGCCCACAATGCGCTGTGACGATGAGTTCGTGCCTCGATCGCGCAATTCCAATGGCAATGGCCAAGGGGCTGACGACGACAGACAGGCGCTGGCTCAGGAGGCACGGCTAACGTATTGCTTCTCACAGCCCGCGATGCTGGACGATCTGCTGCTGGCAACACAAATGAATCAGACGCAACAGAGCGCATCACAGAACTACTTCCAGCGCTTGGTGCGCCGCATGACCCGATTTTTCGTGACGACCCGCTGGGACGACACCATCAAGCGGCTGGTGAGCACGATCGAGCGCCTGGGTAGCTATACCTGCAAGGTCGGCGACGATGGCGTCGTCACAATCTCAACTATTGATAGACGCAAGCTTCGCCTAGTGTTCAAGGCTCACATCATTGAGATGGATGGCAAAATACTCGTCGATTTTCGACTGTCGAAGGGCTGTGGCCTCGAGTTCAAGCGACGTTTCATCAAAATCAAACTTGCTCTCGAGGATATTCTGCTAAAGGGACCAACGACTTGGCCTATTGCCATTGCTACCAATTCGGTGCCCTAGCTATGACAAATTAGGCATAGATAGATGTAGTTTTTAACAAGCATATCACCTGGTTTACTAATCAGACACTTTTTTATATCACGTTTTTTAACATCATATTTAGAATAAGTACATCAGAAAAATTTTTTAGTTTTGTTAAATGTTGAAAAGTATTTTAACTTTAGTTAGCTAAACGTTATAAAACAATAAATTGACAACGATTATGCCAAGTTGTTTTTAACAATTTCAAATATTCTGCGATTAAATGTTTTATCTGCTTTATGTTCAAATAATATATGCTACAAATTGTCCATTGAATATCCTTTGAAAACTCTATAAAAAAATATACATATAATTATGTTAATCCTGCTGTTTTATTGTTTCTCTTGGATGACAAATCCATTGAATGATTTCGCAAATCATGAGAAAATTTCATAAATTATGAAATGATTTCGAAAATCATGCAATAATTTCATTAAACATTTCACATATTTTCATTGCATTGCATACTTACGTTGTAATTCAAAATTCAGTCGATATTTTTGTTAAAATAATTACTGTTATTTCTATAAAAGGCCAGCGGTTCCAAAGTTCCATTTCAAAATATTGTATATGCTTGATTTCAAACAAATATTCAGCTGGTTACCAAAAAATTTTTGATAACCTTCTATAAAGGTCGAATATTTTAATAATGGGACACGCTCTTGACAATGGCCTTGAAATTTCCATGTCTATAATATGAGTGAATATCTTTCCAATGAGAATGTTAAATTAAATAAATAAAAATTTTGGTTTTTATAATTTCGAAATCTTAAGTTAAAATATATAATAATTTGAAATAAATATTAAACGTTAAATTTTAATTTGCAAAAACCGAAAAGTATTTCAGCGAAAGACTTGAGAAACATATATTTTCAACAATATTTATTTCACATCTACTAACACTTGAATAAGATGTATTATATGTCTGCTTCTAGAACTTTATGCGCTGCTTTATATAAAGTTGAACAATCGATGCTTAACATTGTGAACCAGTTACAATAATATAAGGGAGTTGAGAGGTCAATCTTTATTTAATTTTCACACTGATAATGTTGCTAAAAGCGTCGTACATCTGGTTAAATATCTTCGCGTGACCAAAACATACGTCTATATAAATAATGTGTGTATCATAGTACTGATAACAGTAAATATATGTAATTTTGTTTAAATAACGATGCAATTTTGGGGCATAATAAATCGGTTTGTATTGTGCGCCAGACACAAATCTACACCAAATGGACACCTTTTACTTGGGCGCTTGCGCCTGAGTTCGCGTTTGCGCTTTCTGCTTTGGTATTTGTTCATTCGAGTGGGTGCTTGGTGTTTTATTGGAATTTATAAGAAGCGAGATTTACTGTGGTTTCCTGAAGTTCTTGCCAGCGAACTTAACGCCCTGGCCAATCTCCTCCTCAATACGCAGTATTTGGTTGTACTTGGCTAGACGCTCCGAGCGGCATGGAGCACCAGTTTTGATCTGACCGGTGGAAAGACCAACAACCAGGTCACCGATGAAAGAGTCCTCGGTTTCACCTGAACGATGAGACACCATGGTGCCCCAGCCATTCTTCTTGGCCAGCAAATGAGCTTGAATGGATTCCGTCACTGTACCGATCTGGTTGACCTTAAGCAGCAGACAGTTGCAGGCTTTCTTCTCGACAGCAGTGGCAATGCGCTTAGGGTTTGTGACAGTCAAATCATCACCGACAATCTGAATTTTGGTGTTGGCAGTCAAATTGGTCCAGGCATCCCAATGATCCTGATCGAAGGGATCCTCAATGGACACAATGGGGAAGTCCTTAATGAACTCCTGATACAAGTTAGCCAATTTTTCGGGCGACAGCCACTGTGCCTTATCACTCTGGGGATTCTTGAAGTCCAAATCGTAGAGTCCATCCCTGAAGAATTCAGAGGCGGCAACGTCCATGCCGATCTCGATCTATAAAATACAAAAGCATAAGCATATAAAATTAATTTTGCGACATATTGAAGAGAATTCAATTACTCACCTTGCCAGTGTAGCCAGCCTTGGCGATGGCGTCGTTGATGAGGCACAGAGCCTCCTTGTTGGACTGAATGTTGGGTGCGAAACCACCCTCATCGCCCACTGCGGTAGCATCCAAGCCGAACTTGGCCTTAATAACATTCTTCAAGTGATGGTACACCTCAGAGCCCATTTTCATGGCCTCAGTGAAGCTGGTGGCGCCAGTTGGCAGGATCATGAACTCCTGCATGGCCAGCTTGTTGCCAGCATGGCTACCGCCATTGATGACGTTGAAGGCAGGCACAGGCAAGATAATTTCCTTGTTGCCAGCCAAATCAGCAAGATGCCTGTACAGGGGCACGTTCTTCTTGGCAGCACCAGCCTTGGCCACGGCCAAAGAGACACCCAAAATGGCGTTGGCACCAAACTTGTTCTTGTTCTCGGTACCATCGAGCTTGATCATGAAATTATCAATGGCAGCCTGATCGGTCACATCCAGATTGGCCTTGATCAGCTCAGGGCCAAGAGTGTTGTTCACATGGCCGACAGCCTGCAGCACAGACTTGCCATGGTAGTTGGCCTTGTCGTTATCGCGCAGCTCCAGAGCCTCATGCACGCCAGTCGAGGCACCAGAGGGAACGGCTGCCCGGAACAGGCCCAAGTCAGTGGTCAAATCGACCTCGACGGTGGGGTTACCACGAGAGTCGTAGATTTGACGTGCTTTGATCGACTTGATGGTCATGTTGCTTTCTTTAGAACTGCAAAACACATTAAAAAAGGTGCATTAATAATTATTTACCTAAGAGTTTAATTTACCATATGATTGTTATTTATTTGAGATTTTCATTGATTTGTATTACAGGCTAAAAAGCTTAATTTTGGCTTCCGTTAATCGAATAAGTAAATTTTAATAAAAATCATTTTATTCTGTGCGTATTTGTGTAATTATTTAATACTTTTTCTTTTGATCTGCCGGTATTTGATCGAATTAAGAACAATCAGCAATTTCCCTCCCGCAAGGAAATACTTTTTTCACAAGCGATACGTGAGAGCGCGATGGCAATAGCGCTCACCGCTTGTACGAATGACCTCTACAGAGCGCTTTAAGGTCACAGCAAAAGTAATGGACTCAGAGGAACGCCGAAAAGTAAGCAAATTTTCGCGAATTACGATAAGAAATTAACAAATTTATTGCAATTTCTTTTCAAAGTAAACGAAAGGTATTAGTTAAATGGCATTAACAGATGTATATATAAATAACTATTCACATTCCGAGTTTGCTTAAAAATACATAATAAAAATGTATTAGATAACTGCAGCTACCATAGAAAGCAAATTTCGCGATTGAAAACGATTGATATCAAATTGAGAGAAAAACAATACTACTAATATAACATAGTTATAATCTCACTTGAATACTTACCAAGAACTTTTAAATTTTATAAATTTAAATCCAGACGAGAGCGACTCTAGTGAGCTTCGGGCTTGGCTGGCTGATTTGCTACTGAAATCGTGTGTCGCACAACGCGATGAGGCGACGAAGTTTCTATTTCGGCTTATGTGGGTTGGCGCTGGTATCGATGATTGCAGCAAGGGGAATACGCGCACAGCTCGCGATACTAAAGTGTTGGCCATTGTTGTTGTGGACTGTGGAACCTAAATTGCCGCTATGGTTGCGTATACGTACTCCAGGCAAGGTGCTGCGAGTGGAATTTTTCGTCGGTAAGCTGGCGGCCGGTAGCTTGGTGAGGGATATATGATTGACCTTGTGCGAAGGTTAGCCGTAATGGCATCCACATGTGGCTTCCATTCACTTAAAATCTGGTTCAACCTTTGGGAGACACAGAATATTTTAAATTGTTTATAAAAATAACTAAGAAACCATAATAATAATTTTATAAATAATATAATACGTTATCCATCGGCGATGTGCTGGCACTTTCCAGCACTGTTTGTGTTGCAGCAGCAACATCGATATTGCTTTATCGATATTAAATCAACAATCTATAGAGCACGCGGCCGGCATTGTTTTGGCTCTTTATTATTACTGCTAACCATATTATGTCTGAAAATACAAGCGTTATTATGCCCGGCGAGCGTGTTCGGGTTGTGGAAGACGCAGCGAAAAACAAACGAGTCATTCTAGGCCCAGGACTAAGAAGATTGGACGACAAAGTTGTAGCCAGCAAGGCGGGCCCGCTCCGGCACAAAGATCCAAACACATTTTGGGTGGACAACTATCAGCGGCGTTATGTGCCAGCGAGAGGAGATCTGATTATTGGCATAGTGAAGGCCAGAGTGGGCGATTTATACCGCGTGGATATTGGCTCAGCGGACACGGCTGCAATTTCCTACCTGGCCTTTGAGGCAGCAACAAAAAAGAATCGGCCTGATCTGAATCCTGGTGATCTGCTTTACGCCCGCGTTCTCAACGCCAATGCAGACATTGAGCCGGAGCTAGTGTGCGTGAATTCGAATGGCAAGCGTGGCAAGCTAGGTGTTTTACAAGACGGATTCTTTTTTAAGTGCAGTTTAAACCTGGCCCGTCTGTTACTGCGCGAGAGCTGCCCGGCCCTCGCAGCCCTCACAGACGAGCTGCCCTTTGAGATCGCCGTGGGCGTCAATGGGCGGATCTGGGTGAAGGCGCACTCAATGCGAGAAACGGTGGGTCTAGCGAATGCGATTATGAGCCTAGAACAAGCGGGCTATGCGGAGATCGACAAGATCTGTGGGGATCTGAATAGTGTGATGCAAACGTGATTAATTTATGCAAAATTACAAAGGATTTACTGTTAACACAATCTTGGCTCTGAAAACTGCGAAATTTTTTATATATAATTAAATACTTTAAGCTAAGAAAAATATACAAAAATTAACAATTGTGTAACTTAGTAATTTACGCCTACTTTTATATAAATATTTTATCAATTCAATGAAGAATACGATAATTTTATACGTACTTAATCAATTTGATCATATATTGTGTCATCTTCAATTTTGAACATTTCCATACTTGCTCTAAATAATTTCAAATATAACTACCGATATTTAGCTCATCACGCATCAGGTTCTCTTTCGCTCTCCTTTTCCCAATTATATATCGATGGTCCACAGAGAAGTCAGCTGATGTATTATCAGACTACAAAAGGAAAGTCTACGTTTAGAGTGCAGATGCGTCGTTGCATGTGTTACGTTAAAGTTCAAAGTGCTATAATATGTCGTTCATTGAATTTTTATTCATTTTGCTAATTCTCTACTATTTCGTATACGTTTTGCTCTGGATAATATTGGACTGTAATGTGGCGCTATGGTACAAATCTCGTTTCGGAAACTCGATATCGACAATGCGCGGACAGGTGGTTTGGATAACAGGTGCATCAAGCGGCATCGGCCGCGCCTTGGCGATTAGCTTGGCACGCCATGGCGTTCGCCTAGTGCTCAGTGCGCGCCGTCTTGAACAGCTGGAGCAGGTGCAAGCCGAATGCTTGGCCGCGGCGCGTGGTCTATTGGCTCAGAAGGATGTCTTGATTCTTCAAATGGATGTGTTGCAACTGGACAAGCATCAAGCTCATCTCTATACCGTGCTCAATCATTTCGAGCGACTCGATGTCCTGGTGAACAATGCGGGTCGCTCACAGCGCGCCAACTGGGTAGACATTGACATCCAAGTGGATCGTGACCTATTCGAGCTGGACGTGTTTTCTGTGGTGCATCTATCCCGCCTGGTTGTGCGCTACTTCCTGGAACAGAACGGTGGACGCGGTCACATTGCAGCCACTTCGAGCATAGCTGGCTTCAGCCCGGTGCCCTTCTCTGCAACCTACTGCGCCGCCAAGCATGCCCTCAATGCCTATTTGACTTCACTGAAGTTGGAACAGCGCAAGTTGGATGTAACCATATTTGCACCTGGTCCCATCGCCACAGACTTCCTGATGGAGGCATTCACGGGCACCAAAGGTGCAAAGGTGGGCGATAGCACAGCCAATCAGAAGCGCCTAACGGCGGAGCGCTGTGGAGAGCTCTTTGCGGTGGCCATCGCCAACAAAATGGATCTAACTTGGTGTGGTCTGTTCCCGGTTAATGCGATGGCCTATTGCGCTCGCAATGCCACGCTCACCAAAATTTTGGCCCAGTTTATGACCGAGAAGACCTTGATGAAAATTCGAGACGGCAAGCTATGAGATTACTTAGATCGTATTTTGATAAGAAACCTTTACTTATACACTACAGAGAAGCAAATGCAAATTATATAAAGAAGTTTATTTTGATCCAAGTGCTGCTTTCACGTGCTCTGGAATCTTGATGCGTTTTCTTTTGGCCTTCAGCTGTGTTGTCTGCTCTACTTGCTGGAGGCTGGGCTTATTCGCTTTTTTGCTCTTTTTACATGAAAGCGGATTTGGATTCTTTGGTCCCTTGACTTTTTTCGGCTTAACGGGCTCAGTTGGCTTTATGCCCTGTTTCTCTTTCATATATTCGATCTTCTGTTCGTGTTGGCCCAGCATCAAATTCTTGGCTTTCTTTTGCACCCATTTCTTGGACGCTTCTGAGGGCGCCTCCAGCACCGGCGTCGCTTTGTGCAGGTAGAGAAGGCAACGTCCGGGCACCTTACGAAGACTTGCCTGTAGCAGGCGATCCTGTGTTGCAACTATGTAGCGATTGTCCTTTGTCTGCAATTTAAATTGTGAAACGTGGTTGACTCGACTTGGAAATACACTATCCTACCATCGATTTAAGACACTGCGCAGCTGCAACAGGTTTGCCTTCGTGCCCGCATTTGTGCACATAGAACTGCTTGACAATCGATAAGGCGCCTAACAATGGAGCTCCTAGTGCCTCGGCTTCGAGTATGACGCATTGCGTAGTTAAAAGTTTCACATTACATTGAAAATATTTTTTAATTTGTTCATCTATTCCGATCTTGTGCTAAAAGTTGAGAAAAATGCATGTATCACTTATTCCGTTTTTGTTTGAGCGGAGCTACGCAACTTACCTGCAAAGCAGCCTGACAGAAGGTAGCGTCAATAAGCACCTGATACGGTTCACGGTAATCAAAGTGCGTTGAAAAAAATGCAAGAGTTTTGTGAGACTTTTTAAATCGTGAGATCTTCATCACGTTGTTTTTAGTTTATCAACAAATCACTAAATTGTCGATAGACAATCTATCGATAAATGGAATGTTAATATGTACAGCTTATCGATGAATCTCTATTAAAACCATTTATTTTATTTTAAGTTTTATTTTGGTAATAATTTACGAGCAATATGCTTTGATTATATCAGAGAACATAATAGAATAGAACATAAATTAGCTCTTTGAATCATCACAATATTATTTCATTACCAATCGCCGTCCACCACAACTGTTAGTGATGACGCTGCCAACTTACGCAAAAGTATATGGGATTGACATTTGAAAATTTCAATATTGGCGCAAAAATTAAGTGTGCATATTTTCAACCACCTTTCTGTTTTCACCCTCTGCCATTGTTGCGCGTTCTGTTTTCGTTTATGTTTTCTGTTTAGTTATATTTATAGCGCCGTTGCAAGCAGTGTTGCCAGATTAGCTATTTAATAGCATTTTTAGCTATTTTTGAACCCTAAATGCTATGAAAATTTTGAAAATGCTATTAGCTATAAATTTAGCTATTTTACAAACGAATATTTTGAATTTGATTTTAGAATTTAAAGCAAAAAAAAAAACATTTTTCGATTAAGTCCCAAATTGTACGTAATGATCTGCGCGATACTACCACCACGACTTTATCGTACTTATAACATCAGTTGTGAATTTACACCATCGCTAATTCTTCTTGGCGCGCTTCTTGGCATTAATTGTATGTGATGGATAAAAAATATAAGCAGAAATTTCGTGATTCCTGGAAAACAATCACCGAATTTAAGAATTGGATTAAGGAGGATGAGTCGGACAACAGGCGGGCGTATTGTATATACTGCAAATGCAGTGTTTTTGCCAAATTGCACGATATTAAAATGCATGCCGCGACAAAAAAAAACATAAAACTGCGATTGGCGTCTTTGGGCAAAAAATTTAAACATTTTCCATGATTTCATTTAAACATGATTCCAGTTAATCAAAAATATAATTCTGATGATGATTTGGATGTGGACCAAATTGTAACATTATTAAATAACATTTAAAAATAAAANATATATAATATTATTATATTTCTACTGTCAACTTTGCAAAGATTAAGAGTAAGAGTATCAATTGGAGCCAAACTAATTGATAGGAAAATCGTCTGAAGGTTCTTGGAGTAGCTATAGAGACTATCGGCTCACTATGTGTTGCTTAGATATAATGCAACTCATGTATATGTATAGAAGCTGAACCTGAAAGCTCATTGTATATAGCTCTTTTTGGTTGTTGTTTGTTTTTATTATTGCTGCATTGTATATGATTATCGGTCGTATAATCCCCTCATTATAAGTTGGCCCACTGAAAGCGTCGCAATTGCGATTTGATCAAACGGTTAGAATTTTACAATTGCTAACGGATTTGTGTTTATCATGTGGGTTAGCGCTTCGACAGAGGAGGGCGCAGATCTCAGAGGAAGGGTATTTGCGTTTTCTCCTATATTTTCAATTGGATAATATTGGTCAAGTTTATGTGATAAAGCCGATCCCATTCAGAGTTCTTAATTGAACTTTGAAGTCGTGAGCGTAGAATAGAAATAACTGCTTTATATTCATACATACAAATATGAACGTGAATGTATGCGTGTGTGTGTGTGTGTGTGTGTGTCTTTATATATATATACCTGCGCGCTTGCGTATTTTTTGGGTATTAAACAGAGCATTGCTTATTCGGTAATCCGGGATTGTTTCGATCGTGTCTCGCATGCCGAAAACTATTAGAATCTGATTTACGTCAAAGGTTTCTTGGTTTCCGGTGCTGCATGATTTGTCGTCGCCACTTGGTTATGGGCCAACGAAAGTCACGTTTTAAAATCTATATAAAATCTATATATTTCTACAGACTTGAGATATAATTCAAATAATTAAAGTTATATATTACAGTGAGAACTAATTTGTATGTAGTATATTAAGTAAGTTATGAATGAAAAATATCGAAGGCTGCAAACAAAAATGTTGTTATAAATTTAAATAAATTAAATCAAAATTTCTGTATATAGTATTAAATATTTAGATATTATAAATTTATTAAAATTTAGAAAATGATTTTGAATGCGCTTTTTGCCAAATTTGTATTGTATGCTTCAATTGAATCGGTCGAAAGCTGGTTACGATTAACTTATGTAATATATGTAAATATATCTGTAATATATGTTAGCTGTCTGTGGATTACAGCGAACAGTTTACTTGAAAGCTTTCTCGCACGATCTTCGTTTCATTCGTCATATAACTAATTCTGAGTCAGGGCGAAAAGCCGTTCAGCACTCAGTTTGTATTTTATTCCATTCATGAGTCTTGATCTCTCGTCAAGTGTTTATTTATTTGTTGTTGTTGTTTGTTTTTGTTGTTGTCTACACACAGTTGCGACTCGCCTTTCTTTTTAAGCTGGCTACCAAGCATTTGCAGGCTGCATATCAATTGCCCGAGCTTCAATACCTCACGTCATATGGATTAATTAGTGATCAAATGCCGGCCGAGCTGCTCGGTTGATATGGCTGACATTATGAATTTGCATGTAACTCATTTAAAACCAATTCGCGTACCAAGTGGATTTTTTTATAATGCGATTTTATTTTGTTGCGAATTCAAGTGAGAAACAATATACAAATGAAATTTTTGACCGGGCAACATGTAATGCTCGATCCCACAGTGTGAAGTAGATAATTTAAATTTGTTGCTAGGGAGCATATTTTCAAGTAGGGTGTCAAAAAATAATATATTTATATGTATATAGTCTTCTTGGTGGCTGAAATCACTTGATCTTCATATAGATCTGTGAGCTATACAATATTTCATCGAAGAGAGACAAACTAAAAAAAATAAAAATAATTTAGCTGCTTTGGTACTATAAACAAGTATTAAGTAGTCGGGCAGACCCGATTGCAATGCTCCTGTTAGTTTTCTGTTGAACTTCTGTCTCACTCATTAGGTCGTTAAGCTTTACGATATCTTCTCCCAAACATATTATTATTGACTACAATTTAGTGTTATACCCATGTTCACTGAACCCATTGACCTGTATCTTACTTAGTATAAACTATATTACGTACGCCCGCAAATACGGAAATATAGTTGCTTGTAAAGCATCGTGTAGGAAATTGTCACGCATTTGCTATATGGTCAAGGCTTATCAGCCTAAGTACTATATAGAACTACAATAATTTCTAATTCTATTTGTCATGTGTAGATGAAACTGAAAGTTTTGCTATAGATAATCTAGAAATGGGCGATTTAAGTCGAATTAGCCTTGTACAACAAATTATTCAAAATACATTTTTTTTTCTACACATGTCATTTCAAATCATAGATAAGGGTTACACTTGACTCAGGGACCCCGAATAATAGATAAGGGTTACACTTGACTCTTTTGTCCTTTATCTTTCAGTCTCAGCAGAAGCTCCATTTAAAAAACATTCAAATTACTGTCTTTATTTTATATCCGGCAAGAGTATTAGAAGTCCGACACTTTAAAAAGAGAGGAAAACGTGCCCTYTATGATTATTATTATTTTAATTAGCACGTTTATATAATATATGTATAACTACACACTTAAGTACTGTGTTTTTTATAATCGAGCGAGCGTAAAGTTAACGTTAACTAAAATTGGCCAAGTTTATATCATTGTAGACATTCTACACAATGTATATATTCGGGATACAAAATTTGAGGGCGTTTTAATGTGCGTTAATAAGAACCCTGATTTTAACTGCTGAACTATTAAATGGTCAACCCCATTTAAGCGAAAAACTGGTTATTAAGAAACGATCTAAACTGAAACTGAAAGATCTATGTACGTTTTTAGAGTCTGACTCATATCTTTCATTATTCAAGATTTTCTCATCAAGTAACTTTAAACTGACTTTGATTATATTTTTAAAGATTATGTCTCATCATTCAATCTTCAATGGGATAGTCATTTCTTATTAAATTCCGAATAATTATTCCCGATTGTTTTTTTTTTTTTTTTTTTTTTTTTTTTTAAGTTTCCCTTTTTGGCAGATGCCAAAGCCTCCCATTTAGCATACAGCAGATGAAATATAGCTGATATGCTTTGCAAAGAACCTTAACTACAATTAAAAAAGCTGAGCACTTAACATTCTTTTGTCGTACATTAACCCAGAGGTAGGGACAAAGTAACATTTCTCTTACTGCATACGTAATTCAGTTAAGAATTGAATTATTGAATTTCTTTTGTAAGAAGCCTTCGTCACTCTCTCATCAAAAGCATTCCTTTAGAGTTAATCATTACAATTCATAAATCGTCGGCTGACCTGCATAATTTTTTATAATTTGTGAATATTATTACTTTGCATAAATTTTGAAATTAATTAAACAATTTTCAGGTCAACTAACTGGTGTGAAAATAAACATAGGAAAACAGGTCTGACATGTGATACACAACTGTTTTTCAAGCAGACGAAAAAATTTGTTTTAGTTAAGTCATTAAAAGCTGTAAAAAATGAGTTTAATTACAAATAACTACATAACTGACAAACAATAAACTAATTATATAATTAGCTCTGAGAGCATTTGTCATTTTTTGCAGCGTCATGAATCATTCATTTGCTCAACTCCAACGATATATGCTTCCATTTAATTTATGCGAAATGTTTCACAGCTTGTACATATTTGAATAAATTATAGTTAACTTTTACGATTTGCCTTACACCTAGAACATATGCAATTTATGTCAAGCTCAAAATATATCAAGACTAGTTGCTATTGCTTTTCGAGAGTTTCAATCGAATTCATTCTGAAATATTCACAATGGATGTTGTGGTGACCCTAATTATTGCGGTTAAATTTTAATAAAAGTTCTTCCATGAGCAAGAATTCTACAGGTGAACAAATCTACAGGGAAAAGCACTAAAATTGTATAAATAACTTAATAGCTCTCTTATAGTGGTAAAAACGTATTAATCTATTAGCGTCATAAAATACCCAGAAATGGAGAAAATTACCGTTTCAGAGTTTTCGCAATTATGAATGTATAGA